CCAAGCTTTCCCCTATGCACCTAGAATCAATAAGAAACATGGACGCTTTTGTCGCTGCCATTCCCGACAGATCAATGCGCCTCCACACCACACACAGTTACCAGTTTCTTGGCCTAGAACAAGGCAGAGGACTCTGGCAAGCTTCAAATCTGGAGTCCGATGTGATAATTGGTGTCATAGATACTGGTATCTGGCCTGAACATCCCAGTTTTCATGACTATGGTTTTGGGCCGGTGCCAACTAAATGGAAAGGTGCTTGTGAGAGCGGTACAAACTTCTCCTCCTTAAACTGCAACCGCAAACTCATCGGTGCCAGATACTTCTTTAAAGGGTACGAGGCAGAACACGGCAGAGTCAATGAAGCCGCAAATTTTAAGTCCCCCAGAGCAACAAATGGTCATGGAACTCACTGCGCATCAACGGCTGCCGGTAATCTTGTACAGAACGCAAGCTTTTATGGGCTAGCTAGAGGTGTGGCGGCCGGAATGAGGTACACATCAAGAATCGCGGTATATAAAGTTTGTTGGGAAGGACCTGCCGGTTGCTTTGATTGTGATATTCTGGCCGCCATTAATCAAGCAATTAAAGATGGAGTGGACGTAGTGTCCATATCGATAGGACTTGCAGAAGGAGGAGCTGTCCAGTATTTTGAGGATACCACTGCTCAAGCAGCATTCGCTGGAATCCAACGAGGGATCTTTTTTTCACTTTCGGCCGGAAATGAAGGCCCGCGTACTGTTGGCAACACTGCACCATGGCTCATGACGGTGGCTGCAAGCTACACTGATAGGAGCTTCCCCACAATAGTCAAGCTTGGAAATGGACAAATTTTTGAAGGTATATCTTTGTACTCTGGTAAATCATTAAAAGAACTGCCAATTCTGTATGGATCAACTGCAGGGAAAAAATTTGCTCAGTATTGCGTTCCGGGGACACTCAGCCCAAAGCTTGTAAAAGGAAAGGTGGTTGTTTGTGAACAAATAGGAGGATTTGACACATATCAACAAGCAGAGTATGTGAAGTTGGTAGGAGGAGCTGGCACGATCATCTTTCCTGATAAGGGTGAAGATCCTACTGCTTATCCTTCCATGTTTCCAGCAGCTTCCGTGGGAGACTTCGCAAGAAACGCCATATTAAGTTATTTGAAATCCACAAAATCACCTACAGCTTCACTAACTTTCAAAGGAACCACTTATGGAAAGCGTGCACCAATGATGGCTGCGTTTTCATCGAGAGGACCAAATCTAGTTGGTCCTGACCTGCTCAAACCGGACTTGACTGCACCAGGAGTGAACATATTAGCAGCATGGCCTAGTATAACTAGCCCATCTGAGGAGGAAGGTGACAAAAGAAGGGTTATGTTCAATCTATTGTCAGGGACTTCGATGGCTTGCCCTCATGTTAGCGGCCTAGCAGCACTGCTTATATCCAGGCACAAAGAATGGTCGCCAGCAGCAGTTAAATCAGCCATGATGACAACCGCTTATAATCTGGATAATAGAGGGAGTCCAATTAAGGATGTTTATCATGGTGGCCCTGCAACACCTTTTGCAATTGGTTCAGGCCATGTTGATATACAGAAAGCTTCTGATCCAGGATTGCTATATGACATCCACCCTCATGAGTATTTGCATTACTTGTGTAGCCTCAATTATAGTCCTTCTCAGATAACCTTATTTGATCGGAATTTCACATGCCCCAAAAAGACCACCATGCAGCCTGGAGATCTAAACTACCCTTCCTTTGCAGTGCCTTTCAAGAGTGATGATGTTACCATTACCTACAGAAGAACTGTCACAAATGTTGGAAATCCTCCAGTAGCTACTTATAAAGTGCTAGTGGAAGAACCCATAGGAATATCAGTTAGGGTGAAGCCTAACATTTTAAGTTTTAAGACGCATGGTGAGAAACTACGGTACAAGGTGAGTTTTACTATAATAAGACGACTCGTTCAATCTGATTACTCATCTTTTGGATCTTTAAAGTGGGTGTCTGAGAAATACGCGGTCCGAAGTCCCATTGTAATAACTTATATAGAGTGAGCCCTGTGCTTATTAATCATGTACTGCTCAAGTTATTGTGTGTGTGGTATGCCTATGTGTAATTAATGTTTGATGGGAAAAATAATTAAAAGCATATAAAATGCTTTTTATCTACTTCGGCTTAATTTTATCTTTCCAATGTGACCTACGCGCCTGGTATTTCCCTTAAAAGAAAAATTTTAATTATGCAGCAGCAGAAATTTCCAGAAGAATGTCCTTTATTTTAATTTTTTTTATTTTTTATTTACTTTTTGCTTCGTCCTTTGCCAAAACTATTATCTCAGCCACTAAGACACTAAATACTTGCTCTGTAGAAATCGTCTCTCTGATTATTTCTCTGCTTGTTATAAATTAATGATATTACCCTTATTTTTACTAATATATATTAGGTTAAATGCTAAATTTGGTCCCTCAACTTTAGTGAGTTGCACATTTTTGGTCCTTCAACAATTTTTTGCACTTTTTTGATCCCTCAACTATACGAAATGCATTCCGTTAGTCCTTCTGTCAATTTTTGCCGTTAACTTGGCCACATGGCATTTTTTATATTTTTTTTGGATGACATGGCAAAAATAACTTAAAAGGTGCTGATTTGGACTTTTTTTTGGCGACATGTCATCTTCCTTTCTCATCTTCATTCTCTGCAAAATCAATTTCCACGTCATCTGCAGAATCAATCTTAACCCATTTCTTCTTCTTCTCTAAATGCTCTCTCATCTCCACCCCTCTACAAAACCGATTTTAACCCATTTCTTCTTTTTCTCTTTTCTCAAGAGAACTTGAGAAATTGAACCCAATTACTGGGTTTCATTCAAGCCTCAAACTTAGTAAATCTTATCAAATCAAATTAACCCTTCAATAAACAATATCAATCAAACTCCAACAAAAATACAATCAAATTGTAAATCAACTCTCAAATTTATTAACAATTGGAAATGAAAATCCAAAGAAAAATGAAAAAACATGAATCCAGCATTGAAACAGCAAAGCTGGGTTCATCGAAACCCAGCTGGGTCTCGTTGAACCCAGCAGTTGGGTTTGGGTAAACCCAGCAAGGCTGGGTTAGACGAGACCCAGCAGGGTTCGTCGGAACCCAGGCTGGGTCTCATCGGAACCCAACAAGGGAGACCCAGCAAGGGAGACCCAGCCAGGCTGGGTTCTGACGAGATCCAGCAGGTTGGGTTCCGACGAGATCCAGCAGGTTGGGTTCGTCGCAGCCATCGAAATCTAGCTTGGTGGAGACCCAGGGCAAGAAAGAAAGAAAGAGAAAGAAAGAAGGGGAAGAAGAGGGATTGGGTGGGTGAGGGTAGTTAG